AACCGACCCGGCACTTCCAAAAAGGATAGTCACATGGCCAATAGACATATAGAAAGACAGCTTAGGCACTTCCAAAAAGGATAGTCACATGACCAATAGACATACAGAAAGACAGCTCGTCAGTCATCAGAGAAATACAAATTGAAACCTCAGTGCATGCTCAGCAGAACGGCTACCGTGAAAAAAAGACAGTATCGAGCACTGGTCAGGATGTGAAGGAAAAGGAACTCACACACTCCTGGTGTGTACAACTACCACGAACTGTTCGGCACTGTATACCAAAGCTGAACATACACACACCAGCGGTTCTATTCCTAGGAATACACCCAACTTGTCCTTATATGTGCTTATGTACGTTCACCAAAAGACAAACACATGAACGTCTGTAGCAGCTGGATTCAAAATAACCCCAAAGGGGAAACGACTACGTCCATCAATCCAAGCGTCCAGCAGAACAGATAAATAAACTGTGGTCTAGCCATACAGCGAAATATCACACATCAATGAGAATGAATGAACTACTGCTAAGCACAACATGGCTAAATCTCACAAAATATACTGACTATAAGACGTCACATACACAAGAGTACGTAAGACTCTGCGGACAGAAAGTCCAAAACCATTTTACGGTGTTAGAAGCCAGGAGCGTAGTAACGTTTATTCATCGTTCTGGACCAGGCTGCACTGGACATGTTCACGTTGTGGAAAAGGATTAAGCTGTATGCTTATGATGCGTGCAATTATTTATCAATTTTTTTAAGCCTAAAAAATAACTAGATGTGGCTTCCTCCGCGTCATTCCCGCCCCTTTGTCCCTGAGTTAGCGTCCCCGCGGGAGTAAACGCCGCCCCTCTGGGGGCGCTGCTGGCTGCGATACCTGTCTCCCTGCGGACGCCGGGCCCAGCCGGTCCCGTCCGTCGCTGTCACCCTGGCCCGCGGCGGGCGCTCCCGAGCCAGTGCGGCGTGACGACCGGTAGGTCCTCAACCCGGTAAAGCCGGCTGCGCGCCGACGCGCCGTCGGGACCGTCCCAGAGCAGAGGGAGGGTCCGGCCAGGGCGGAGAGAACTGAGGAGCCTGCGGCGGAAACGGGGTCCGCGGTCAAAGACCCGAACAACGGACCGAGCCAGGCTCTCCCGCCGCGAACGGAGAGTCTCCCGCAGGAAGCTTCTTTGCGGCAGCGCAGGCGGCCTTTCCTCCGGGGTCTTTCCCCGCTGCTTACGCGTCGCGGGCGCTGGAGGCCGCCAGGCAGAGGGGAGGGGAGGGGAGGGGAGGGCGGCCACGCGGGGGCAGAAGCGCCGCACGGCTGCGCACGGCCGGGCCCGGACGCCCCCCGCGCCCCTCACCTGCCCGGACGCCCCCCGCGTCCGCCCCCCGCGCCCCTCACCCGCCCGCGGGCCCCGCCGCCTCCGCCGCTCACCTGCCCGCGGGCTGCGCGGTCCGGCCCCGGAAGTGCAGGGCCGGCTCCCCGGAAGCGCCGCGGGCGCCGCCCTCCTCCACTGCGCCCGCCCAGCCCGACCCGCCCCGGCCAGCGGCTACACGTCCCCCGGGCGCCCGTCCTCCCGCGCGGGCGGCGGCGACTCGGCGAGGAGCCTTTACGGAGCCCACCGGGAAAACCTGACGCCTGGGTTTCGTTCCTCCTCACACTCCGCAAGGGAGGTCTTGGTATTTTCTGTTTTTATTCAGCTGAGAAGAAGGAAGCTCAGAGATTGGACACGTTTGCGAGCGTCGCGCGCGGGAGGGGCCGCGCGGTGGCGAGAAGGCCGGGCCCGGGGCACCGAGGCCGGCGAGCCGGTGTCTGAGCCGAGGCGCGCTCCTGCGGGCGGCGATTCCCGCATCAGCTCCGTGGAAGTCCGGGTGCTGCAGCAAGTGTGGACGAGGGACGCAGAATGCTGGCCAGTCCCGGGTGAAACGAAGTTGAACGATTCCTTCGTCTCCTCTTTCTTAAAGCTCTCGAGAGGTTGATGGGCACTGTGGGAAGCGCCACGGGGAGAATATAACACGTAGCGTTTCCCAAACTTGTTTCGCCACAGAAGAAATATAAATATCTTCCTGAGCAGCGTTCCTCGCATCCCAGTTTGGGAAACACTCTCCTAAAACTATGTACATCAAGTGCTGGAGGATGGAGGAAGTTTAACTGGGCCATCTAACATTCATTATCTCCCCCTCCAATCCGATTTCCTCCTTTTCGCACCAGCCAGCCAAAACGGATGAGCCGCCCATCCTGGGAGGACCCTGCAGTCGTGTGCCTGGGTTCACAATCACGGCTCGTCACTTACTAGCTGCACGACTTTGGTGCAGTTGTGTGACGTTTCTAGACTCACTTTCCTCACCCAAATTATGGTACCTGGTTGCTGGTGTTCTTGCAAGGGTTAGATGAGTCCACATAAAGCAGGTAGGACACCTTAGCCCCGAGCCCAGTGCTCAGGGAAGGTTTGCTTCTACTCTCAGGTACCCTACTCTCTTCCCCCACCAAGCAGGCCCCCCTTTGCCCAACTGTGCTCTGCAAAATGTCCCTCTCTTCTGGCAAGTTTCATTTTTGTAGCTTATTCAGGCAAATCTTTGTTAAGCCCAGCCCTTCCCATTTCCTTCCCGCCAATGTCTATAGTACCTTCTGGTATAAGGAGCTCATGCCCTCGCTGCTTAGCTCTCTCATTGACCGAAAATTCCCTGAGGACAAGGGAAGGCTCTTCAGGCCCCAGGAGGAGCAGAGGGGCACTCGGAGAAGCCTTGACTGACAGCCAAGCACAGACCGCACACTGGCACAGCCAGGTGCTGGGGCAGAGATGAAGAAGGCTTGGTTGCGCTCTGCACAGTTCACCGGGGAAGACGAGCTTGCATAAAGCCCTGTGGGAGCGCAGAGGAAGCCTCAAGCTTCTTAAATACAGCATTTGTTGTGTTGAAGGGAGCTCCTCGGTGGGCACCATTTCCCTTTTGACCCTTAGCTTGGGATGTCTGTGCTGAAGGAAGGAGGAGTGGCTGCCAGTTAGCTGGGAGCCACCCGCAGGGCTAACACAGGATGTCCGCTTGTCCTTCCTGCACCCCTGGCAAGTTCCTTCCTGTCTTTCAGCTGCATGCTGGGCCCTTCCTCTTCAGCTCACCACCACCAGTCCTGCTCTTCCCCCAGGGACTTCTGTTGTCATCTCCCTGGCAGCACATCTGCCCCTTTCCCTCCCTCCCGTCTGGGAAGCCCACCTCCATCTTTTCCCTTTCATTCTTCTCCCCAAAGGCCACTTTGTGGGGGGTGGGGGGCATTTTACCAGCTGTCTCCATTCCCAGTCACTTCTCCTCTGCAAGTGTCCAGGCCTCAAACTTCGCCGAAACTGCTCTCCCTGAAGTCACCACTGACATACTTGGGACTCAATCTAGCCGACTCGCTGGCCACTTCCTCCTTGGCTTCCATGACAACACACCCTCCTGGCTTTTCTCTTGCCTCTCTGGGCCCTCTTCAGCATGCTTTTCTTTGGCTTGTCCCTTAAATGTCGGTGGAGTCCCTCCAGCTTCCCTCCTTGGCCCCTACTCGTCTACCCTCCAGGGTGATGCCGTCCTGTTCATCACATCGTCACCTGAGGGCCACAGCGATTACCGCAACCCTCTATCTGAGGGCTCCAGTTGGGTGCCCTACAGGCACCCTTCATCCACGTGTCCTGAACTCTCCCACTTGCTCCATTCCTCACACTGCTCCTCCTGGGTGTCCATCTCCACGAGAGGCGTTACATCCATCCAGTTGTCCAAGCCAGAAACCTGGCTCTGATTTGACCCCATTTCTTGTAGCTACTGCCACCTCTTAGACCTATCTACTTCCTGCTATGGCAGCTCAGGCACCTGCTGTCTGGACCACATGGACGGCAGCATCAGCCCCCATAGCCCCCTTGCCTCCTGCTTTGACATCCTCATCTGTTCTCCCCAAGGTAGTCATGGTGACTTTTCTGAAAGGAAAATCTGATCATGTTGCTTCCCTATTTAAAACCCCTCAATGGCCTCCGCCCACAGGATAAAATGCACATTCCTTAGTGTGGCTTTCCAGTCGGATTCCTCTTCTTTCATTCCATGATCCAGCCAGAAAGTCATTCTGAATCATGCTATGGTCTGAATGTGGTCCCCCAACCCCTGGCAAATTCTTACGGTGGAACCTAACACCTAACACCCAGCGTGACAGTGTGAACAGGTGGGGCCTTTGGGGAAGTGATGAAGTGATGACAGCTCTGCCCTCATCTAAGGGACGAGTGCCCTCAGGTAAGAGGTGGAAGGGAGCTGCCTTACCCCTTCCGCCATGTCAGGACAGTGAGAAAGCACCGTCTTTGCAGCAGAGAGCAGCCCTCCCCAGACATCAGATCTGCTGGTGCCTTGATCTTGGACTCCCCGGCCTCTAGAACTGTGAGCAATAAATTTCTGTTGTTTATAAATTACCCAGTCTAAGATACTTGCTTTTAGCAGCTGGAATAGACTAGGACAAATCCCCTGAATCTTGTTAATTCTTACCTCTAGGCCTTTGTATATGGTTTGCCCTCTGCCTGGATCCTTCCTTGGCCACCTTGCATTCACTTTACTAAACTCCCCATCCTTAAGGTTCAACTCACAGGTCAACTTCCCTGGGAAGCTTCATGGAAAAACCCCTTTCCCACACCCTCCCTTCCACCTGGGTGAGGGGAAGGTGTCCTGTGCTTAGCCCAGCACTGCAGGGTTCACACTGTATCTGATAGGGGCAAGGGGGAGGGAAGGGCAGGACATAGCTATGAAAGTTCCAGCAGAAACATGTACTATGCTTTGCTTGCTGGTTTACCTCTAGTATGTGGCCGAGAGCCTGGCCAAGAGTTGGCACTGAATACATGTTGGTAGAATAGATGAATGAACCCATTCCTTCCCTCTGGAACCAAACTCCTGGCAGGAACTCAGGATCGGGAGGCATTAGCTTACAAACAAGATGCCTACCACCCAGGATCTAAGAAAGCTCCTGGGAGGAGGCTGTGTTTATCAAAAGCTCGTGCTGCAAGATGAAAAGTAGAAGGGACAGAAGACTGGAGGGAAGGAGTTGACCACATTTACTGATTGATGACTGGGTAAATAGAGAAGTCAATAAATCTGGGCCAAGCTGCCCCAGAAAGTCCCCCTGCCTTGGTCTGCCAAGAGGGTCGAGGTAGTCTTTCTGTACCAGGAAGGAGCTAGTCCTGGGCCAGGACTCCAGCTGGACGGCCGTGGCGGGTGGCATCCGCCTGGGCTACAGATCAGTCCTAGGGTCCCACCCCACCATTTCCTGTTGGGCTGGGCCTGCCCAGCCACATGAGGCGGAGCGGCCTAGAGGAGAGGCGGCAGGCAGGGGCCTGAGGCCGGGCATGCCTGACGGGGGAGGGCCTGGCACAGTGCTGGGGAGGCTCACGCAGCAGAGGACCGCAAACACGGCCAGACCGTGAGCCCACAGGCCCAGGCAGGAGCTCACAGGCTCAGATGATGACCTGCTCCTGGATCTTCTCTCCCAAGTAAAAGCGGCTGAAGAGGAAGGGGCTCAGGTCGATGGTCTGGAAGTGGCCCTCGAGCACCATCTCTGCCACAGCGCGCCCCACGCCAGGGGCCTGCTGGAGCCCATGACCGCTGAAGCCCGCAGCAAAGTACATGTTGACAACCAGCGGGTGGGGGCCCACCACGCCGTTCTGGTCAAAGGTGTTGTAGTCGTTGTAGCCGGCCCAGGCACTGCGAACCTGCGGGCGCACAAGACGCGGAGGTGATGGGGAGGCCGCAGACGCTCAGTCCTCACTCCTGCTCAGGTCAGCACGAAGCACCTCTACTGGCTGCCGAGAGGGCCCTGGGACGGGACAGGTCCAACAGATCCCTTCCCAGTTACGAGGTGGAGGGAACGTGGCAGGGGACAGGTCCAAGGAGACCGAGATGCTCCACTGTCATCTGTCCTGTCCAGTATCCAAAAATGAACAGGCAAACCCAGCCCCTGCTGGTTACCTTCAGAGTCTCGAAAGCTGGTACTCTCTGGGCCAAAGGAGGCCACACCTTGTCTTGGAAGAAACCATAGTCCACTTCCAGGTTCCCTGGATCTGGTTCCTCCTCCTGAGATGAGAAGCAGGGACGAGGCTTACATTATCTGGGACACAGGGCAGACCCAGACCTCACGGACCCCTTTAACCAATGCCCTGGACAGGTAGGGGATGGGGAGAAATGGTCCCAATTCAAACCTGGAGGGGCTGCAACATCGATAACACAGCACGTGACCCTCCACAAAAGCCCGATTCTTTCAGGACAACTGGTCTGTCTCTTTCCCAGCAGCCCCGACCCCACTCGGCTTACCTCAGGGGGGCTAAGGCCACCCAGGTAGTTGTTGCCTAATCCTTCCCGGCGGAAATAGGCTCCACTTATGTCTGTGACTAGAGGAGCCTCCAGGCCTGGTCCCTGGGGGCAGTGCCATAAATACACATACCTGTCACAACCAGTGGGGTGAGGAAATTGCAGGCAGAGCACGGCCAACAACCCTCCTCACCCCAGCGCACACACGCTTAACCACCTTTGTTACCATTTCTTCCCTTCTCTCACCAACCGCCTCGGCTGCCCTGAGGGAAGTTACCTCTTCCTCGGCTCCACAGGTAGCCTGGTGCCCTGGAGGGTGCCAGGTGGCCCCTTCCCAATACCAGCCAGCTCTGCGACCTGCCCAGACCAGGCTCCTGCTGCATTAATCACTATGGCACACTCCACGGGCTGGTACTCCAGGCTGTGGTCCATCTTCACCTGTAGGCACCAGAGGGGGAGGGAGGGAAGGCCAGGCACCATGAGAGGCACACTCCTTCCTGGGTCTCAGTTTGCCCACACTGGAAAGTGGGTAGAAGACCAAGTTAAGGAGAGTCATTACCTTTCCTGTCCCTCTACTTTGCAAAGGGACAGCTCAGAACAGGAACTTACATGGACTTCATAGATCCTTTTCAAGGTCACCTCCGTCCCACTTGTGGTCTTCATGTGGTTAGAGGAAGAGACGAATCCTGCAGGGAAGAAACTAAAAAATAAGATTTGGAGGCTTCGAAGAGGAAGGAAGTGGAGATTCCACTGATTTCACAAGGAAAGAGAGCTGTAAGGATGGGAGCTTTTCCACAGACACTGAGCAAACAGAGATCAGGTAACCAGGAGGGACTGCCAGCCACGCTCTGACAGGACAGGCCTGACACTGTTGGGCAGATCACAAGTCACAAAGCAGCCCAGCGAGGACTGGCCCGCAGGGAAGGGTCCCTTCCCCACCGGCCCTTGCTTAGCTCGCAAGTGAGAAGGTCAGACCCTCCTTGCTCTCCAGTCCTACGCCCTGGCTGCTACAGGAAACAAGCAGTGGGCACGGGGCCACAGACTCACGTGTCACCTCGCCCTGGCAGAAAAGGACTCCCATGGACTGCACCTTTCGCCGTAGCCCCTGGAGCAGACACCAGGGGTCAAACCAACCCTCGTTTTCCATCCCTGTGATGAGAACACGAGAATTCATGGAGCGGGACTGGGACCCCTCCTCTCCTATTGCATTTTCTGCACCCTCCCAACTGCTCCCTAGGGCTTGTCAGTCAGAGAGGGTCGTCTTGACCAACCGGACCAGAGTCGAGCCCTGCTGAGGGACAGAGAACTGGCAGGGCCTGGGGCAGGCCCTGCTACAGGAAGGAGGCCGTCCTCCTTCAGCTTGCTGTGGGGTACTGAGACTTACAGCCCGAGGCACCCCTCAATCCCTACCTTCAGGAAAAAAGCTGTCCCCTCTGCAAGCAAGCCTCACCGTAAGACGCCAAAGCCACTCCCTCTGTGTTTATCCAAGGAAATTTGTTCCGAAGCTGCTCAGGAGACATCAGACAAACCTTGGCTCCTTCCTGCCTGCGCGAATGTTGGATTGTGTCTGTGTCAGGGGAGGTGCGTGTGCAGGAGGCGAAGCACGGGCCCCAGCTCCCCAAGTCGGGGTCCAGCTCGCTCACTCCACTTTTCTGTCCCCAACTCCCCAACTTTTCCTCACTGAGTGGGCGAAGACCGAGCTTCCGAGTCGAGGCTCTTCAGCATCTGACCCTCTATCCTTTCCTGCTCCCTCGCCTCCCTTGAGCCACCGCATCCTTGTCACCCCTATTTTATGTCCTTTCACGACAGGGTGGTCTTGTGCTCTCCATTCCTGCCCAGAGCAGCCTTGCTCTCCGCCTCCTCACACAGTCTCATTCCTCAGCACAAATCTCTCCTCTGGGACGCTGTCCCCCAAAGGCAGCATAAAGTGGGTGCCTAAAGAACACTCTCACAGGCCAGACTGCCCGGGCTGAAAGAACTCCCAGCGCCACCATTCATGAGCGCCTCGTGCCTGAGTCTCCCCCACGCATAAAGCAGAGATGTTCTAATGATTCGATGAGTTAATACCTGTGAAGTATTTTGGATATTACCTGATGTCACTGTGAGACTTGAATGTTTGTTAAATAAACGTAAAAATAAAGCCTCCAGCCCTAGCGTATCACAAAGATGCCCACCCTCGGCTGATGACGATAATCACTTAGGGAAGGGGTTGCCAAATCCGACCTGCAGCCTGTTTTTGTGAATGAGCCATGCTCACTCATTTATGCTTGTGTCTACGGCTGCTTTTGTGCTCCAACAGCAGAGCTGAGTGGCTGCGACAGAAACGGTATATACGGCCAGCAAACCCCAACTGGCCCTGTACAGAAAATGCATGCTGACTGACTTAAAGTTCTTGCTAAAAAACCCAGATTCTTGGCTCGTTCCCTAGAGATTCTGGTTTATGAGGTCTAGAGATGTGTCCTAGGTGGTTTTTATGATCTGGCAAATTTAGGAACCACCACGGCAGCGTTCTGTCCTGTGGTGCAGCCCTCCCCACCAGGTCTGAAGGCCTGTGTCTGTTTTCCCGGCAGACTGGGCTCCTAGAGTAGGGACCATTTTATTAATTCCGTCTTTCCAGTTCCTAACTTGGGGCAGGAGTCACTGCATGTGAGGCCTCGAAGCAGCTGAGAGGCCGTGCCGGCACCCACCTCTGCACTCTCACGTTGCTCTCCATGGTTGCAGCACCCTTTTCGGAAGCTAGCAAGAGATAGCCCAAGGGGTTGAACTGCAGGTCCAGGGGAGGGGCATCGACTACGGCCAGGTACTCCTGTGTGCAAAGAGAAGCCTTCCTCAGCCACAGCCCCAAGCCTCAAGGCACCTGCACCAGGGTCCCCACTCCCAGTTGCCTAACGCACTCCTGCTCCCTACATCCCCTCGCCGGCTGGGCTGCTCCCCTCTCTCAGCTAAAGGAGGGGTCATCACCCCGATCCCCCAAACATCATTGCACATACGTTGATGTTCCGTAGAAAGCTGGCTGAAAAGAGGGAGAGCTGTATGTTCTCGGGCACCGAGAACTGCTGATGAATGCCGCCGATAGAGAGCACTGTGGAGGCTTGTGAATACTGCGGAAAGACGAGAGAAGTTGAGACACACCCGTACCCTGTCACACGTGACTGGAGTGCTGCAATGGAAACCGACTTATGCACCTCAAGTTAAAGAGGAGCCCTGAGAGGAGCCGAGGTGCATAAATCTGTATGCAAGTCAACCAGCAGCCTGAAGACGGCGCTGTTTAAAATCCTATCAGCAGACGTGCAGAGCAGAGCGTCAGTCATCTAAAACGGCTGGGCGCAGTTGTACAAAATGGGAATGGCCTGCAAGTCCAAGGGCAGGAGATTAACATCTGATCTGCCCGTTGGAAAATGAAGAGATATAACCAAAGCACAGGAGTGAGGCTCGTGCTGGCTGGCAATGGCAAATAGCAACTAAATGCAAAAATGTCAGAAGTAATGAGACCTAAAAGATGAAAGTTGAGGCAGCTCTTTGCGTTAATTACAGCTTGAATGCAGCCTCTCTGGGCCCGACCTGGGAGATCTCGAAAGATCCAACGTTGTGAAATCTGCTTTCACAAGCAAACCTTATTGCCAAGGTTCCTGGTTTGAGCAAAGAAGAACCGGGGACTATTTCTTGACAAGGACCAAGGCACAGTCTCTGTCCTTTGGACCCCCAGGGATTGAAGTCCCTCCTCTCCTCCCTTTCCCTTGGCCCTGAAGTCCTCAGTGACATGCGAGTCATCTTCCTTGCCCTACCCAGGCCTCACCGTGTGGTCCCGTTCCACCACCAGCACACGAATGGCACCTCGTCGCTTCTCCAGCTTCTTCAGCCAATAGGCCACAGACAGGCCAAGCACCCCACCTCCCACGATCACCACATCCGAGTGTTCGGGGGGCAGGTGGCTGGTGTCATAAAGTGGATTCCAGGCCCCTCCAGGCAGAATCGACTGGATCTTCTTCTTAATCTCAGACACTTTGCCATCCCAGTCTGTGGGACACAGTTATGGTCAGAGGGCCAAACATGTCCTTCCCACAAGGTGGGAGGCTGAAGGATGGGCACAGGAAAAGGTGGGCTAAATACACCTTTGAGTTGGCAGTCCCCACCGTCCTCCGTTCTCATGCGGCTCCCTGCCCCCAGCAGTGTTGCCGTGGATCTGCTGGATGATCGCATGCCCTCAATCTCCCTTTTCATGCATCATGCCCAGCACAGCAAGACCCAACTTCCTAAAATTAACACTTTCTACTCTCTCCCTAAGCTGGGTAACTCACATACTCATCCCCTGCGCAGACCTCTCCCTCCCCTGAGCTGCCGACTCACACATTCAGCTGCACTGTCATCGCCTCTTGGGTGCTCCACGCCCCTGGGCTGAGAGGTCCCGGCACACTCCGAGCGGCAGTGCCCTCTGCAGCATGGTACCTCTCAGCGGCGCCTCACCCTTGATACCCATCACCACCAGCGAACTTACACTTAAATCTCTCTGTAGTCAAGACCCGATGACGCTGTCTCCCAAATAACTCCCGAATCCGTCCCCTTTCCTTGCATCTCTGCTGCCACCATGCCGGGCCAAGTCACTGTAATCTCTCATCTGGACAAATGCAAATGACTCTTCCCGCCATTCCCCTCTTGTCCACCCCATCTCCTGCTAAGCTTTCTACATTGTAGATAGAACGATCTTTTTGAAGCAGTAACTTAATCACACATCCTGTTGCTAACCCCCTCCGATGGCTTTCCCTTACTCTAAGGACCAAGTCCAAAAGCTCCACCGTGGCCTGCAAAGTGCTGCACAACGTGGCTTCTGGGCACCTTGTCCTCGCCGCACTCCAGCCCCTTCAGTTCCTGGACTCAACCATATTTCCACTCACCTCGAGAAATTCACACACGTTCGCTCCGCCTGGAAACCCCGTCCCCTTCCTTGCCTAGTTAATTCCTTGCTTCCCGCAGATTTCAGCTCAGGCACCATTTTCTCAGGAAAGCCCTTCCTGACCCGCTAGACCAATTCTCCCACACGTGACCTCCTGCCTCCGCGAACCCCTTTTGCAGCGTGCACACACCTCCGACTAGCAGTGCGTGACGGGCGCAACATCGTCAGGGGAGACCGTGCACCTGCGCCACGACGCTGCAGCCGGGCACGGCACCGGCGCGGTCTCGGTGCTCAGCTACGTGTTCCGAGTAAGTGAATCCTTTCGCCATTTCATACCTCGCTCTCCTCGGCAGCGCCGGAACCTCTCCTCGATCAGGCTCGCCTCACCCGCCCGCACTACACGTTGCCACTCGCCGACCCTCTGGACGACTGCCGCTAGTTCCAACCTGTGCTCAGGGCCTCGCAGCCCAGAACACAGCTCTCCCGAACCGGCAGACATCACCCTCCAAGGCCGATCTCAGTCCCCCCGCTCTACGTACTTCTCCCGTTCTGGCTCGAGCCCGCGCGCGGGGCATTCTTCGAGCCGGGTCCTACCCAGCCTTGGCCCGGTCTCCCGTCTCCGGACATTTCCCGCGCTAGCCACACTCCAGCATCTTCCGGGACGCGCACCGGACCCGCTCTCTCCTGCACTCTTTCCCGGCCGCGGCGCCCGGACGCGGGCAGGCTGCTGCACCCCTGGGCCGCCCGCGAGTCGGCCCGGCTCCCCGCTGTCCTGGCGGGAAGCGGGGGCCCAGAACGACGCGGGATGTGTCACCCGAGCGGGGCCGCCTCGCAACCACGCACTTGCCAACCACGCGCATGCTCTGGCGGACAAGCTCGCCCCTCCGCCACCGCCCCGCCGTCCTGTCAGGGGTCACGCGGCCGGCGGTTGGGGACGCCCCAGAACCCCGGACGCGCTCCGCCGCCGCACCTTTACCCGGCGTGGAGCCTCCTCCGCGCGAGCCCGGCCCGCGGGTCACCAGGCCCCGGCCCCCGCCGAGCCGCAGCGCCCTCCGCAGCATGGCCCTTCCGCGCGCCGCGCCCGGCCCCGCCCCGCGACCTTGCCGGAGCCCCGCCCCCTGGCGTCCGCGTCGGCCCTGCGCGCCCGCGGCGGAAGCGGGAGGGAAGCCTGCGGGTCGGAACGGAAGTGCGTCTGAGCCGGTTTCCGGGGCTGCTGGTGTGACGTGTCCCGCGCCTGGCGCAGCAGGAAGCGGCGGCGATCGCGGCCTGAGCTCCCGGCGCCGGCCCCAGCTGCTCTGCCGCCGCCGCCATGCTCGACTTCTTCACCATCTTCTCCAAGGGGGGGCTCGTGCTCTGGTGCTTCCAGGGCGTGAGCGACTCGTGCACCGGGCCCGTTAACGCGCTGATTCGCTCGGTGCTGCTGCAGGTACCGCCCCCGCGGGATCGGAACTCCGGGCTCTTCCTCCCCGACCCTGTCCGTGGTCCCCTGCGACTGGTCGTCCTGCGCCCCCCGCGCCCCTCACCCGTGACCCGGGCCCCGCTTTCTCCCGCCCGCCTCAGTCTGCTCCGCAACTTTGCGACGCCCCGACCTCCGGCGTCTGGGACTCTCGCCGGTTCCAGCTCCTTTTGGGACTTCACTCGCCCATTCGCCCCCAGCAGCTTGGTTTTCTGTTATTTCGAGGCTGCATGAGATAGTGGATGGAAAACGCTTTTGAAAAATCTTCTAGTCGACCTGATTGTTTACTTGAGCGCTTCCCTTCTGGCTCCCACGTGTCTTGCCTTCCCTCTCTCCCCGTTTCTCCCTTCCCCAGCTCCTTTTCTTTATGGTGGAATGCTAGAGAGAAATGCCCCAGCAGTCTCTTGTCCTGGGGGCAGGCTTGACTTTGGGGAAAATACCTGGTTCTTTTCCAAAGGTAATCCCGAAGGGGCTAAGTCTGGGTTTTCTGAGGATAGGCTGAATTCTGAGACGTACTCTTCCTCTAGGAGCGGGGAGGTAACAACTCCTTCACCCATGAGGCACTCACACTCAAGTATAAACTGGACAACCAGTTTGAGCTGGTGTTTGTGGTAAGTAGGGGTGTTTTAGAGGGACAATGATGAGGTTCTCAACATTGTCCCTGTCAATTGCACCCCGTGTATACGACGCAGTAGCTGGGAGAGCTGGGAAGGTGGGGCGGGGGAGGGAGCTCGGCTGTCTCTCAGGACAGGGAAACCTGCCAGGTGGCCGAGCCTGTCTCTGGAAGCCTGGGTTGAGTTGGCTCCCCTCCATTCTGGGCTGGCATGTAAGCAAATCTGTTGGCTCTGTTTCTTCCCCTAAACAGGTTGGTTTTCAGAAGATCCTAACGCTGACGTACGTGGACAAATTGATAGATGACGTGCACCGGCTGTTTCGGGACAAGTACCGCACAGAGATCCAACAGCACAGTGCTTTAAGTCTATTGAATGGCACTTTTGATTTCCAAAATGACTTTCTGCGGCTCCTTCGGTGAGAGGCCTCCCTCCTCAAAAATCAATCTCCCTTCCTGAACATAGTGCAAGGGTGGCGAAGTGTGTGTTCAAAGGCACTGCTAACTTGCTGCCCGTTTCTGATTGTCCTCTTGGTGTGCAGGTCCTTTCTCTGGACTTTGAGTTTTCCTCTTGCGTGGAATAGAAGGATCAGCCATTCTCTTTTCTCTTTAGTGAAGCAGAGGAGAGCAGTAAGATCCGCGCTCCCACTACCATGAAGAAATTTGAAGATTCTGATAAGGCCAAGAAACCTGTGAGGTCCATGATTGAGACACGGGGTGAAAAGCCCAAGGAAAAAGCAAAGAACAGCAAAAAAAAGGGGGCCAAGAAGGAAGGTGAGTTTGAGTTCCCGGGACATACTGGGACACGAAAGGTGTTGACGCGGTGCTGAAGACTGAGGTGGTCCTTCCTTTTGTCATTGCTTGCCACCCTGTCATGCCCAGGCCCTGTGATCGCAAGATGTTTGCTCCAAGTTTCTACTTAAAGATTTGTAAGACTTTTAGCCATTGTGTAGTTGGTTGGGATCTGGTTTTTCTCCAGTGAGGTTTCTTCTAACAGGTTCTGATGGCCCTTTGGCTACCAGCAAAGCAGTCCCTGCAGAAAAGTCAGGTCTCCCGGCAGGGCCTGAGAACGGAGTAGAACTTTCCAAAGAGGAACTGATACGCAGGAAGCGAGAAGAGTTCATTCAGAAGCATGGGAGGGGTACGGAGAAGTCCAGGTGCACACTCTTTCTCCAGTACTCTCAAAATACTGTTACCTAGCCACACTGGGGGCAAGGGAGCTCGTTTCTGGCTCATGATTCCTTTCCTGCTTCACCATAACCCTTTGTGCATAACGCATTGCAGCAAGTCCGCGAAGTCAGATGCTCCAAAGGAGAAGGGCAAAAAAGCACCCCGGGTGTGGGAGCTGGGTGGCTGTGCTAACAAGGAAGTCCTGGATTACAGCGCTCCGACCGCCAATGGGACCCCCGAGGCTGCCTTGTCTGAGGATATCAACTTGGTAAGAAGCAGCAGAGGCCCAAGTGAAGGTCACCTTTAGTAAGAAATTAGGGAGGAAGTAGAGACTAAGAGAGTGATACCTGGATTTCCTTGAGAGGGTGTTATATTTGGAACTTCCCCAAGTCAGAGAGACAGAGCAATGTGGACAGGGCAAATCCTGGGCTTTTTCCTCATTCAGAGGCCTTAGTGTTCCTGACCCCATCTCCTTCCTTCCCCCATATCCTCCAGATTCGAGGGACTGGGCCCCGGGGGCAGCTTCAGGATCTGGACTGCAGCAGCTCAGATGATGAAGGGGCCGCTCCAAACTCTACCAAACCTAGGTAGGGGGATTCCAGGTGGCCGGTGGTATGTACGGCTGCAGAATTTGTTAAAATAGAACTTCTACCTACTGGCTTTGTATGTATTTGTGATGTTCTGTGCCTGCAGTGCTACCAAGGGGACGCTGGGTGGCATGTTTGGGATGCTGAAGGGCCTTGTGGGGTCCAAGAGCTTGAGGCGTGAAGACATGGAATCTGTGCTGGACAAGATGCGTGATCATCTCATCGGTAAGTTCTGAGGACCGGGCTGACTCGTGTTCTAGGGAATTGGTATAGTTGAGAGCGAAACACCTAGATTTCTCAGCTGCACTATAAATGTTGGTCACTGTTGACACAGAACTCACACACCTGTCCCCCTCTCAGCTAAGAACGTGGCTGCAGACATTGCCGTCCAGCTCTGCGAATCTGTTGCCAACAAGTTGGAAGGGAAGGTGATGGGGACATTCAGCAGTGAGTATCTCCCTCGAGTCACAGAGTGTTCGTGCATACCAAGAGGTTAAGCACATAGGGCTCCATTCTTACTAGGTAGGTGACTCTCGGCAAATTCCTTAACCTCTGAACCTCTATTGGATAACCGAGACTTAGAGATATTATGAAGATTAAATTAGTAGCCGTATAGTGCTTACGCTTTGGATTCCTGGGGCAAGGTCCCAGTATTGCCTGAGTTTCCTTAGCTCGGAATGCGTTCCTTGTATTCCGTGGCTGCAACCCCTCTGCCTCCCCTTCCAGCGGTGACTTCCACAGTAAAGCAAGCTCTACAGGAGTCCCTGGTGCAGATTCTGCAGCCGCAGCGCCGCGTAGACATGCTCCGGGATATCATGGATGCCCAGCGTCGCCAGCGCCCTTACGTTGTCACCTTCTGTGGTGTTAACGGAGTAGGGAAGTCTACTAATCTGGCCAAGGTCAGCGCAGTTCCCCATCCTGTCACGGATACTTCTTTCCTCTCCAAGTTTTAGGACCTTGGTTCTAGGTGACAGTTTTCTTACCTCTTTTGCACAGATTTCCTTCTGGCTGTTAGAGAACGGCTTCAGTGTCCTCATTGCTGCCTGTGATACATTTCGAGCCGGGGCAGTGGAGCAGCTGCGTACGCACACCCGGCGTTTGAGTGCCCTACACCCCCCAGAGAACCATGGTGGCCGTACTATGGTGCAGCTGTTTGAGAAGGGCTATGGCAAGGATGCTGCTGGCATTGCCATGGAAGCCATTGCCTTTGGTACCGTGCATGGGGAAGCGTAACAGCTTGTTGGGGCCCCTTTTCCTTCTTGGGTTCCCTTGGAACTTGCAGGGGATCAGCTCACCCTACTACAAACGTGATGCTCGATACCAGGAAGAAGTCAGGATTCATTACTTGCCACACTCTGCTTTTGGGTAATATTAATATGAGTAGTTGCAGGTAAAGCTAATGTATCTTACTCAAAGGAACCTGAATTTGGTCACTTTTATCCTATTGTCATCCTTTTCCCACGTTTGGTGATGGCCAGGCATAGAATATGCTTTTTCTCCTATTGCCCTTTAACCAAATCAGAGCCCAAGAAAGTAAATAGGTTTTTAATACAGCGAGGCTAGGACTTTCTGAGAGGAAGCTGGGTTTGAGCACGAGTGACAGTGCAGGTATCTCGCGCTGACAGTTTTTTCTCTCTAGCACGTAACCAAGGCTTTGATGTGGTGCTGGTGGACACGGCAGGCCGCATGCAAGACAACGCCCCCCTGATGACTGCCCTGGCCAAACTCATCACTGTCAACACACCCGACTTGGTGCTGTTTGTGGGAGAGGCCTTGGTCGGCAATGAAGCCGTGGACCAGCTGGTGAGGGCTGAGCCTGCTCGCCTTTACAGGCCAAGATTTGCAATTAGATGGTTCTTATGTCACCTTTTCTTTCCAGGTCAAGTTCAATAGAGCCTTGGCTGACCATTCCATGGCTCAAACACCTCGGCTCATTGATGGCATTGTCCTCACCAAATTTGATACCATTGATGACAAGGTAAGTCAAGGTGGATGACACAAGATGGTGGGACTGGAGGGCAGAATGGGCGTTTGTCACAGGGGAGCAGAAGGTGGAAGGACACCTTGGCTCCTAAATTTCCTGTTGCTGAGGGAATGAGTGAGAAGTGGGTTTGAGTGGACTGACTATCCCCTTTCTGCACTTCAGGTGGGAGCTGCTATTTCTATGACCTACATTACGAGCAAACCCATCGTCTTTGTGGGCACTGGCCAGACCTACTGTGACCTACGCAGTCTCAATGCCAAGGCTGTGGTGGCTGCCCTCATGAAGGCTTAATGTGGCTCTTGCCCAATACCAAATCGCCGCTTTCACCCACAAGCCGCTATTCCCGTCTCAAGAATGTGCTTTAGAGTATGTGAGCAAATTGTCTTCAGTGTAGTACGAAGGCAGAGTGAGGACTGCGGCTCCTTTAACCCCTGCCCCCGTTCAGCCTAGCCTCGACCTGCAAGGAGGGCCTAATCATGTTACAATCATTGCCCCCGACCCCCGACCCCCGCTCCCCACGGGCCTCCCCCTTCCTACACAGGTGCCCCCTTCACTCTCCCTACAAACTCAGTCTCATTACAGCTTTGACCAGCAGTTGGGAGACCCAGCACCAGACCTTTGCTCACTAGTGTGGTCACGGAGCTGTCTGAGCCTAACGTGCACTTGGAAGTCCCAGCTCCATTAGGTTCAGAGACTCTTCCAGTTCCAGAGCCAGCTCTGGGTCTTGAATGGCACCTCTAAGACAAGCTTGCAGGTCCCCGGAGCCAGGATGACACCCACCTCACTGTGGCAGTGTGTGGCCTGTTGTTAATTGCTGCTAATTCTAACTCTGATGATGACCCCTACCCCGTTGTTTCCCCAGAATATTAGTCAGGCCAGAGTGATTTGTTACAAATGAGTGAAAGATGAGTCCCTGCTTCCCTCGGAAATAAGGGAGCCCAGCGGCAGTGTTGCGTCGGGCTTTTCAGCCTTCCAACTCTTCCCACTCCCAGATCCAGATCCAGGCTTTGCATGTTCCCCTTCTTGGGAGAAAACCAACTGTGGGAAGGGTGTGTGTTGCCCCCACCCCCTTCCACTTCTGGAGTGGCCCTGGCTCTTGCTCAGCCTTCTCCTCTACAGTGCCTGTAGACAAGTGCTGCACTGAAGAACACAGCTTCTCATTAAGACTTGTCCTGTAGCTTGGCATCACAGATGTGCTATTAGTGCAATAAGGTGAAGGCTGTCTGCCCAGAGAAATACATAATTTATATAAGAAAATAAATTTCATAAATAAATTGCCTCTTAGCTCTTGGAGTTCTTTTATATAGGATTCAAAACTAAAATCCCACATCACACCAACTATAGTTCTTAGAGGGGTGGGGAACCTGCGGCATTTTGACTGGATCCAAATTTTACACAACAGATCCTTTTATTAAAAGGGGTGCAGCAGAGAAAGATGAAAGAACAATCCTGAAACCAGAAGGCTGCAGGTTCCCCAGCCCTACATGGGGAGAAGGGCAATAAAGCAGGCGCTGATAATGCTCTGCGGGACTGCGTAAGTAAACGTTCCGAGAGTGAGATCATCCCACCCCAAAGTGAAAGAAAGAACCTTAAATTTAAAATTTGAGTTACAAAAATTAAGCTCATGATACAAGTCAAGTTTTCTATGGTGACTCTAAAAGTAGAGCCAGGGCTCTGGCAAGTAAATGAACAAGCTTTTAATACAGCTCAGTTATGTAAAATACTGTACACTGTAAAAGATCTAGAAAACTAGAGCTTCAACTCATGTTTTAAAAAAACCATTACGCTGAATTGAAAAACCGAGTATAGAGTACAAAACGGCAACAGCAGCCACGGTGGTTCCATGGCATCTGCCCCCGAGTCCATGCAGAGCTGCAGCCACACTCAGTGGAGGCATCACATCGGTCTGCTGTGTGGACACAAGCACGTCCAGCCTGGGGAGTGGGTGGGGGGCTGCATTTGGGTCCTGTTGTCACTTGGGTATTCTTGAACTGGAACAGGCAGAGTATCAAGAACCAGCTGGCACGAAGGATTAAGTTGGAACACATCCCCCCTACTCTATCCCCAACCTTCAACCTCTAGGTACTGGTACTTCCTGGGAGCTGTGTTGGGTTCTTGTAAGTTTACTTGTTAAACACTGTCCACGGTAGGGCCTTTACAGCTTGGTCTAATGGTGGTGATTTCTCTAGCTCGCTCATGTACTACAGCCTGTGGAGAGACAGAGAAGGTAGAGAATGAAATGAAGTTTCACAAAACAGGTTTATGCATCTAAAGCTGCAGATATTTAAGTCAATCCTAACCTTTCAGAAAGCAAGATATAGGAAAGTCTAAGAATCTTATAAAAGACTTGATAGGAAAAGACAATCCTTAATAGGAAAGACAGGTCATTCTCCATAGTCTTCAGTCTTAGGAAAGCTTTCTGCTGACAGACTGATACATAGAATAGGAAACAGTGTACCTCTTATTTCACCGTGCGCTGCAGACGAGCCATTCAGCTGACCTTCTCTCACCATCCCTGCTAAATACAGAGGACGTCAGCGTCAGACATCCGACGGAAAAGCTGAAACTATCAATAACAAAAAGAGAACCAGCCAACCAAAGGGAGACGAGGGCATATGGTATGATTGGGAAGGATGGCGTTTAGAAATGAAACACGTTAGAAGATAAGGAGGTGGGAAGAACAAACTGGAGTAGCCTTGAGACTCGCATTAACAACGGGGAAGCAGTAAGGGTCCTCAGTGCACTAAGACCCGCTTGTAAACAAAACATCATACATACAAGCAAAGTCCCTCTGTAGAAGACTAAGCTGACAAAAAAAAATTCAATCTGACTGAGGATGGGGAGCAACGCGAGTGAGCAAATTCAAGCAGAATGAGAAGTAGCAGATACTCCCACAGTGTACAATGGCTGTATCTGTGCTATCCAATATGGTACCATGAACTATATACAGCTACTTGGTTCCAAATCAAATTAAAAATTGCATTCCTCAGTCACATTCGCCTCATTTCAAGTGCTTAATAGTGGCTTGTGTATACAGACTGGACAGTGAAGAGTATAAAATATTTTTACGATTGCAAGAAATTCTACTGGACAACACTGGGATAGATAATAGTATAAGAAAGTATAAAACTAAACACATAGAAGAAACTAATCATCAGAAATATGGTCAATTAGAGTATAAACAGACATGGTACTCAAACACACAAACTGGCATTCCGCTCTCGGAATACAATTTGGCAACCACCCACTAAAACATGCACACCCTTGCAGCATTACTTACACTACAGAAAACTAGAAAAAAATTCAAATTGCCTAACATAAGGGAATTAATTAGGTAAACGGTAACATCCACACTGGAATATAACATCAGTCAATTAAAAATAGTAGTTACAGACTATATAGCGATGTGGGAAAATGTAGGAACATATTCTACGTGCAACAGCAAAGTTTCTTTGGAACTAGGTGGGTAAGTCAGAATGCCAGTGCAAGGCTGTAAAAAGCATCCTTCAGTTTAGCTGACACCGAAACTCTTTGCATTTTGTAGGGTTACTGGGAATTTGCCTGCAGTGATTAATAAAATGAGACTTTAAAAACTATTTGGCTCTTTATTGTTAGAATATGGAGGTAAAATATCAAGTGAGTGGAACCCAACCTCTGACTTTAACACCACCACCAGTTTCCAAATAGCATCTGTAAAGTCTGTCTTCTGTTTATAAAAATAATGCATGATCATTGTAGAAAATGCTAACATAGAAATAAAAAAACCCAACACACTTTAAATCCTACTGCCTAAAGATAACCACAGTTAATTTAGTAATCATTCCAGATATTTTTTCCCTTCACTCATGTCTGACATCCTTTCGAAGTTATAGTTAGTTTATTTAGCATTTCAACTTTCGCTCCTCAATAGATTTTATGTATTTCTCATACGCTTCTTCACTCACTAGTTTATCTAGTTCTGAAGAGTTACTCAATGTCATCTTGATCAGCTAACCACCTCCATAATAAGATTTGTTGACAAGTCCTGGCTTTGCTGCAAGAACTTCATTAATTTTAGCTACTTCTCCTGATAAAGGAGAATAGAGTTCATGAGCAGCTTTCACACTTTTCAAAGCAACAAACACATCCTGTTTAATTTTGCCCCAACTTCAGGCAGACTACAGTAAATACCTCCCAAAACAAATCTGCAAAATTCCCACTGTTCCAATACCACTTTCTGTTGTATTCTGGTTTCTCTGTGAATTTGCCCAGTGAGAGCAGAGCAGGCCCTGTGCGCAGCACCTGGACGGCGCCTGCTCTCAGCGGCCAGGGCTGCGGTGGGCAGGGTGAGGGACAGGCCATGGCCCACGTGGTCTGCATGGTCCGAGCCACTAGAGGGGCCACGTTTGCAGGTGTCTGACATCCTTTTGTGGCAGTGAAAACATGTTCCCTTTTACGGCTTCATTGTATTTCATCAATTTAATAAATATTAGTGTATCTATAGAACCCTCTATTGACTGGGACATTTTAGGTTCCATTATATACCAAGAGATCACATCCTCACACATGCATCTTTGTACGACTGTGTGATCATGCAATCACCAACCATCTCCTTAAGAGAAATTGCTTCTAAGATACATTGTATTGATGGGATTTCTAGGTCAAAGGTTTTTTACATTTTTGACACATATTCTAAATTTATTTTCATAAAACCTGTACTAACTTTACCTTCCCACCAATACTGCATGAATATATTTCTTTCATCACAGACTTAGCCAAAACTGAGTTATCATTCTTTACTTTGAAATCTAAATTCTAACTGCACTTCACTGATAACTAGTGAGGCTGAACATCTTTACATATATTTTCTTCATTCCTCCCACTTCTACACTGAAATACTATACTATGCCTCCTGTCCATTTTCCTACCATCCAAATGGCACTTTAGTCTAACCTGAGGACTAACTGTGACCTTCTCCACAATTTCGTCGGTTATTACATTCCCCTTCTTGGCAATGATTTTACCCATCACAAATACACAAAAAGCTGAAGAGCTGTTGCTCTCTGATCTCCCTCAGTCTCAAAAAACGCATCTTACCAGATCTTCCCCTCGTGGAGATCTCACATGTGAGTCGCTTGAAATATTCTGGAAGATCAGCATAGTCATTTCCATAGGAGATGACCTTAATCCCCTTGTCCAGCATGTTTTCTCGAAGCTTCTTGAACTCATCTACATCTCCTCTCCGAACGAGCATGAAATGTTCTAAGTCGGATTTGTGCTTGACGGCCTCCAGGAAGAGGGCCTGGAAAGTGGTGTCGTCCACAGTCCAGCCACAGCCCAGGAAAAGAAATGACTTGTTTTCGTAGAGTTTTTGAATCTCCCTCTTGAAGGAACAGAAACATACTGATGACACAGTGAAGACACACAAAGCAGGTCTGAAACACAGTCAACAGGCTCCTGACCGCTACGTTTAGCAGAGTGTGACGACCAAGGAACCAAGATTTAAGAGGGCTGATATGGCCCATGAAAGCGGCTGACCCGCTTACTACAGTAACGTGGTGACTGCTCTAAAATTTTATCCTTACTTATTCTTCGGTAGGCTCCCTAATCAGGGTTTCACAGGGTTGGCACTGATCTGCTGGTTTTGTAGTTTGTTTTCTAGATTTATGTGCCCAGAGGCCATTGGGCAATGAGTAGGTCTCTTCAATGTATCTTACTCTTTCCACTTTCTGGACCATATTTGCCTTTTTCTGCTTTACGAACTGAACCATGGATCACCGGAGAAGGTAAGTCCATCACCAGATTTGCTCAAAGAAGTCTGATACTCAGAACATCAATACATATGTTGTGTGCGCATGTGCAAGTACGTATATACACACACACATAAAAACATTAGGAATATTTTGTGCAGGGCTCACTCAGCAGTGACGGATGCAGTTACAGCAGATGTCAGGGAGAGAACACGTGGGAAAAAGTGCCTTATACTTCAGAAAACATAGTATTTTCTTGGTCTTTCTTTTGCCACATCATATAAAGATGCTACCATTCTATGTGACCCAGTGCTGAGAACAGCCAGCACATATGGTCTCAGAGTTGGGGGCCAGTGAATTTCCCACATATCCCTGGCCAGGGAGTGCTTCTGGTTTGAGTATGTATCTGTAAATAACCCTAAAACTTGCATCCTAAAAGATCAATAAGCTTTTCACAAAGAAGAAAACCTCGATTTTATCACCCTAGCCAAATTTTTTTCATTTTTTTCCCTAAGTGTCAATTCAATATGAGCCCACTGCCACTTACACAAAATTTCTTTAGAATGTATGCCCTACTAGTGGTTGGTCTGTAAAGTACTGTAAATTATTTTTGGCACAGAGAGGGTTATTAATAAACCAAATGATGAAGAAGAGTATTCTTTGTATGTGGAGATGATGCCAAGGATGGTGTACCATTTGCTGGCTGTCAGTCAAGTACACACAAGGACCCTAGGGTTTGATACCTTAAGAGAAGTTCTGCATTTCCTACGATGGCATGCACGCCCACAGCTAAGAAGCACAGAAAGAATGTCTGACCTCCCTATTTTTGATTAATGAAAAGAAAATGTTCCCCTTTAAGACCTATGGCATATTTGGAGAGGCTTCCCAGGAAGGAGTTCCTGAGACCAGCAAGATCAGCGGCACTCACCATAACTTCCGTGTTCCTGAGCACGTTCTGATATCCCGCTGGATGAAGGACAATGCCACTAGGGTTGGTGTAGACCCCATGGATGTGCAACACACTCAACTTCCTCTTCTCTTGAGCCCACTCTAGGACCTGCACAACACACACAGAGCCCAAGCAGGTTGGCAGGGCTGAGCACCTGCTTCAAGGTCACGAAGGGCAAGAGGCTGCTTTGAGGACTGACTTCTGACACAACTCCCAGCTCCGTGGTATCACAGGACAAGAATGCGAAACCTGATGTGGCCTCAGTTTCTATTTCAAGAATGATGGCAGCAAGTCTGGTGATTTCTCTTTGAGAGTAACAATCAAAAATTAGAATTTGTCCTCACTTGCAGAAACAGGGGCCCTTTGCACTGGTGACATGTGTGAGAGCTATGGACAACTGTCCTCCCTGCATCCAGGCCCTTTCACAGTGACTCCAGGACGGCCACGGGCTTGCTTTTAGCCAACGGGGCACTAGCAAACGCAGCCTAAGCAGAAGCTTGAAAACTGCTGGCACATAATCTTTCTTCTCTTTTGTTGCTTTTGGAACCCAGCTGCCACGTGGAGAAGGCTGGACTAGCCTGCTAGAGACATGGGGACGTGGAAGTGAGGTCCTTTTACAGCACCGGCCCAGGTCTGACCCAGATGACAGCCGCCACGTGAGCAGGCTGCAAAACCAAAACTACCCAGCTGAGCTACCGAGCCCAGCTCAAACTGCTAATTCCCTTTATCGTGGGCAAATAACATGGCTGCTGTTTTAAGCCACAAATTTTCAGGGTGGTTTCTTGTGCAGTAATAGATAAGTGATGTGACAATCACGTCAGCACCTCCGAGGAACCTAAAAGGCTGCCAGCTGAAGAACACCATTCAGCTAACAGTGACTGCCACAGCCGCCTCCTTCCAGGGCTCCATTTTCCCAAGACTGGAGACAGTACACATTTATTCCTAATTGCATTTTGAAGATTCAGGGTATGGACTAGGAAAAAGAGGCACAGAGATTTAGAAGCTGAATATTACTAGGCCCCATTCTCACTACAAGTCAACGGCTTTAACCATTGACTTGAACATTTCCCCTCATGTAGGCTAAAAATACAAAGCAAATATTAAGCCTCAAGGATGACATGAGGGAAAAAAACATCGAGTCTGGTAGATATCCTTAGCTTTGAAAAGACCCTTATGTTTCTGACGCCCACAAACGCTTGGTCATAATCTTTGGCGATTTTATCAGAAACAGCACAGAAGCTACTCTAGGCACTCATTTAAAAATTTCACTCAGTCATTTACTAATTCCAAAAATATTTGCGGAGCACCCACTGTGTGCCAGGTAGTATCTGAGCTATGAATAAAAAAGGCTGATGTAGTACCTGTCCCATGGAGTTACTACTCCTGTGGGGTAAACAGTCAGCAGACAAGATGAACGGCCAAGATAAAAACTGCAAGTTACAGCAAGTGCTATGAGGGAAAAGCACAAGGGAATGGAGCAAAAAGGAAGTGTCCGGTTGAAACGGGGCGGTCAGAGGTGGTCTGTCAGAGGAAGTGGCCTGGACGGCGAGGAGGAGCTGACCGTGCAAAGCATGAGGGGTGGGTGGGACACGTCCCAGCCAGGGAAAATCAGCCTTTGTGGCACCACTTCTCTAAATCCAGTTTTCTCCTAAAGTCTGGCCTCCAGGTCAGCAAACCACGAGAGCCTATCGCAGCTGCTGCTCTGGCAGGAGAGCCGCGGCAATGCCAGCGGGCAGGGCTCTCACCTACCCAGCTCTGTCTAGCTGGGCTCTCAACTGCACGTAAGGGCAGGTTCCTGAGGGAAACAAAGTGCAGAAGGAAAACTGCAGACACCACAGAGCAGGTCAAACGAGACCTTCAGGACTCATCTTGTTAGCTGGCACAGATCCACATCTATAATTCAGTATTATGGCAGAGGAGTATAGTATGGTAGGTACAGTACAGCTATGCTAAAAAAAAAGCCTGCTGAGGTTTCCACCAAACATTAACCTCAAGCCAGCTATCACTTGGCCTGGAAATTGCTCTTCCAATCAGCACAAAGTAGTTTCCATACATTTTCAATAGATGCCATAAAGAATGTATCCTAAAACTCTAAATCAATATTACCAATGTCACACCACCTGACATTATCAAGTGCTAAGGAGATCTTACAGTTCAAATGACTTCCTCTAATTTTGCTTTAAAACTGGATAAAATCATCAGAAGTCATGGAACCAAACACTTTTAAGATCTATGCATTTTGCTATATATTGATTTATCTTAAAAACAAAAAAAACCCCAAAAATCCAATCAGAGGAAAGAATCTTCCTGTCTAGCTCTACATAAATACCAATATACCAACTAGAAAACAGCTTTTCTGATGAAGATACAATCCACTAGCCTGAACAGACTGATGCCTTCCTTTTTACCTTTTTCTCGTCAGTAAGATCAAGGGATTCAAGTTGTTTTCCCTGATCTGCTGCGTACAGTTCCAGCAGATTATCAAAATTTGTAGTTAATACGAGGGCTCCATTTTCCATCAGGTGGAGAACTGACTGAAGTAGCTGTTTTCCAGAATCTTCCATCTTTGACTCCAAGTCATCAAATACTTCATATAAACAGTCCTTGAAAAATGTGGATCGAACATTACTGGTGCGCTGGGAAGGGATTTGAAAAAAGAAAATTAATCCAACGTGTTTGGTAGGTCAATTACTTAAAGGACAGTAATAACAAATTTTTTAAAGAATATTTTTATTCAAAATAGGAATAAAATATCTCATAGGTATGTAATAAGGGAAATGGGGTGATACATGCAAAGTGCTTAGCACAATGCATAACACGAAGCAAGTGATCAATACTATTACATCGTATGCAATCAAGCATAAACTCTCTCAATACGCATTTTACAGAAGGAAGAAAAACAGGCATGGCCAAGAGACGTGAATTTACTATCAGGATTAAAGGAGAGCTGGAGTAGAAAGCACAGCACCGCTACACTCTAATTAGGCCTCAAGTAACAAAGCAACACTTTCTGCTAAACTTTCCTTATCTGGGAATAACCACGGAAATACAGTTTTAAATGTGGCTTACCATCTTTTCCTGATCTTAGGTGTTTTGTACAGCTATTTACATATTTAGGAAAAACCCTTTAATACCAATCAGCTCTAAACAGACTCCCTGTTTCTTAACACATGATTTACTTAAATACCTGCTTTCCCAGATCCATTCTGCATACATGTAAATATCTCTGAGGCTTAATGAGGAAACAACACCTACCTCAGGTGGGAAGTCGACCTTGCAACTGAAAAGACAAAAGTGGCCCCTGGGACAAAAGGAATTTAAAATGCGAAAGTGACTAAGTGATGTGCTGCCACAAATATCTGATCCCTGGCCTATCCCTGAAACGCCACTTACTATGGTTTAAGAATGGGACCCCAAAGTTCTTGTGTTGGAAATTTAATCCCCAAAGCACATTGTTGGGAGGTGGGGCCTATTAAGAAGTGATTAAGCCACGAGGGTTCTCCCCTCACGAATTGATTAATGTTGTTACTGTTAAAGGGGGTTGGTCATAAAAGTGAGTTTGGTCCTCTCTTGCTGTCTCTCTCTCGTCACTGATGCCTTCCACTACGACCTAGCAAGAAGGCCCTCAACAGATGTAGCCCCTCAATCTTGGACTTCTCACCTTCCAGAACCACCAGCCAAATAAACCTCTATTGTTTATAAATTACCCAATCTGTGGCATTCTGCTATAGCAACACAAAACAAAGACACCATTCCATTAGACAGTATCAGAGCGAGAATTAGCTGTGAAAGGCCCAGTATTTCCCATTCAAGACTGTAAGTAACTGCACCTGGCTGCCAGGGAGTAGATAACTTTAGCTCCTCCTGCTCTCCCCACAGTAGTGCCCCTACCTTCCTGGTTTCCTTTGTGTATCTTTCTAATAGTGAAATGCTCAGATAAAGATCTGTTTCCATGGAGCCATCTAAGCAGATTCATAAAACACATTTCAGTTTGCCAAATTCTTCCCCTAATTTGTCAAAGTGTTTTATAAAATTGCCTTTTCTTTAATTATACCTGTCAAACAAGTAAATACGCGGTAAACACTTTCACAGTGGAAACAGAGCACAGGGGTGAAGCAGTGCCTGACTGACCGGGACACGCTCGTGCTTATCTGGGCTCTATCACTCTTCCTGCCGCATCCACCACTAGACAGGCTTCTCACTGTGCCCCGTTGTCAGCAGGCTCGAAGATTCTTTTCCAGTGCTAAATAGATGGAATGACCTATAGTTTGTGTAGCTAAGAATGTGGGCCACGGTTTTTAACTCCCATCCATTCTCGTGACATAATGGCATAAATAATTATATCACATATTAACCACATTCAGGCAACCAACTAAGGACTCTAAACACAATTTAATCAGATGAATAATCTGATCAGAAACAAATAGTGATGAATTTGTAACTCTAGTTATTGCTATATATGTCACTACATATATGTGTCAACTACTATTGAATGTCAGGTATCCGGTATAAAAAAAAATACGATGCCCCTTTAACTGTCAGAATCACAAACCCATTTACCCTATGATCTAGTGATCCCATTGCTGGGATCGTATCCACAAATACAATGCAAACAAACGAAATGACACATACAAGGTTATCACTGCTACATTATTTGTAATAGCAAAAGACTGGAAACAAGCCAAGTATCCATATATAGGCAATTGGTGTGGCCAAGTACTCGCATATAGAAGAACGGCATGGACAGTTTTCCAGGATAGACTGTTAAGTAAAACAAACAAGTTACAGAACACTATGTCCAGAATGCTAACTTTTGAGTTGGGGGTGGAGGTAGTGAGATAAGAATAAACATAGGCCTCCTTTCTTGTATTTGCAAAAAGAAACACTGAAAGGATACACAAAAAACTAGTAAGTCGTCATGACCTATGGGAGGTGAGTCTGGGGAGAGGAGAAAGATGAAGACACAGGTGGAAGTGAGATGTCTTGACATACAAAAACCTTTTTATATTATCTAGATTTCTGCAGTGTGTACACAATACCCACACAAAAAAGGAAAATCATGTTTTAAATTAAATAAAGAATACGTGACTTCCTTGTTCTTCCTATTAAGAGCTCCTTGTGTTTTACAACTTCATTTGTACTCTGACCGACACATACGCACAATCATACACACTATAATCCAACACAGATGAAAAGGCCTAAATATGTGATAAGGTAATCGTGGGTGTGGAGTATATTTTCTTGCTTCTAAGAAAAGAAATACAAAAGGTTTAAACCTGGAAATAATTCCCCGAATCACTTATTTTTAGCTAAATATCTTTTAGTCCTATTTCTTTAAGTTATTAAATCCTACATGTCAACATAGGAAGGAAAGAAGCTCCTATAACTGTATTGATTTCCTCAGATTTATAATGAAAGTTTTTCTCTCTTAAAGCAGATGACCCTAGAGCTACATCTCTCACCAGTGGACCCTATCAGCAAAGACAACGGAATGAAAACAAACAGAGGTTCAGGAGTCAAAAGGAAATGCCGGACTCCCACACAACTTCTAAGGGCCTTTTCTCGTTCATTTAAAACAGTGAACTGAATCCAATGCTACTTCATTTCCTTCCACTCTGTAATTAATTCTTCTCTTTCTAGTCCCAGATACAGTAAAAACAAAAACCAATAAAAACCTAACGTCTCCTGCAATGTTACCATGAGGTACATAATATCCCAGTTTTATAGGTGCAAAAACAGATGCTGAGAAGTTAAAGTATTTGCCCAGGGTCCTAGTGCCTTTAAATGGTACAGTCTGATTCTGAAACCCACACTCTTTGCACTGAATACACAGCATATGAAGCTGGCTCACTAGATGGGTCTATTAACCCTGCCATATTCTCGTTGGACTCGATTCTTTTCTTTTTTTAATAGAGACATTTCCAAACAAACACAAAAGTATAATATATAAAACAAAACATAACTGCAATACCTCTATCACACCTAAAAATGTAGTAATATTAATTCCTTAACATCAAATACTTAGTGTTCAAATTTCCCCTAATTATGTCATTAAATATGAAATGTCTGATTTCGAATCAGAAGTGTAGTTTATTATATCTCAAACAAGAAGCAGTACAATTAATCAAAGTATGCACCTAAACTATCGACACAGTTTTGCCATCTTAATGGTAGGCTGTTTACGCTAGCAGCGAAGCAGCCTGGGGATCGAATGGCAGTGAAATCGCAAAAGGCGTTTTCCACAGCTTGTTGAGCACTGAGTATTTTTCCTTGCAAGAAGTGGTCCAAAGCCTGGAAGTGGTAGTCAGCTGGTGCAAGGTCTGGTGAGTATGGTGGATGAGAGAGAGTTCTCAAGTCCAGCTGCTGTAGTTTGAGCAGCGTTGTTTGTGCAACACGTGGTTAAGTGCTGTCTTGCGAGAGGATTGGCCTGTCTCTGTTGACCAATCTTGGCTGCTTAATCCCAAGCATCCTCGTTATTTTGTCCAGTTGGTTGCAGGAGACATTCAGTATAATTGACTGACCCGGTTTCACGAAGCTGTAGTGGATAATACCAGTGCTGGACCACCAGACATCGTTAGCTTTTTTGGATGAATACTCGGTTTTGGACTGTGTTTTGGCACTTCATCTTTATCCAACCATTGTGCCGAATGCTTGTAATTGTCAAAAAGAATCCATTTTTCATTGCATGTAACAACATGATGTAGAAATGGTTTGCCTTTATGTTGCGACAGCAAAGAAAGGCAAGCTTCGAGACAATTTCTCTTCTGACACTCATTTAATTCACGCAGAACCCATCTATCCAGCTTCTTTACCTTGCTGATTTGTTTCAAACGGTCCAATATTGTTGGAATAGTAACGTCAAGCCCTGCTGCTACTTCACCTGTAGGTTGAGGTGGATTCCCTTCCACTACAGCTTTCAGCTCATCATTATCCACCTTGGTCTCAGGTCGCCCACGTGGCTCATTTTTAAGATTAAAATCACCAGAACGGAACTTCTCAAACTACTGATGTACTGTGCGTTCATTAGCCACATCCTTCCCAAACACTTTGGCGGTATTTCGAGCTGTCTGCGCTGCATTGGTTCCACAATGGAACTCACGTTAGGAAATAACACGAACTTTTGACTTATCCATGGTTTCACAAAACTTGCTCCTAAAAAAAAAATCTGAAAGCTAATCACAAGCCAAAACGTGCACTTGAAAGACTGAGGACATTCCTTTGCAATAAAAATAAAACAAAAACTGTCAAAGTGAAATGTCAGAGATATCAACTGTCAAACTGAGTACTTAAGGAAATCGGACATTTCATACTTAATAACCTAACAGCTCATCTTTATTACTGAGTTATAATAGTTCTTTATATATTCCAGATACTAGATCCTTGTCAGATAGATCACCTGCAAATATTTTTTCCGTTCTGTGGGTTGTCGTCTCACTTTACTAATGGCAACCATTAAAGCGCGCAAGTTTCAAATTCCGATCATGTCTAATTCATCTGTTTTTCTTTTGTTACTTGTGCTTATGGTGTCAGATCTAAGAATTCTTTCCATGCTGTCCTGACTACCATAGGTTTGTATTAAGTTTTGAAATCAGGAAGTATAAGTCCTCCTACTTCGTTCTTTTTCAAGATTGTTTCGGCTATTCTTATAATTCCGTATGAACTTTAGAATCAGTTTGTCAATTTCTACAAACACACTGGCTGAGATTCTAACAGAGATTGTGCTTAACTGTAGATCAATTTGGGGAATATTCCATCTTAATGATATTAAGTTTTCTGATCCATGAACCTGGGATGTTTTTCAATTTAGATCTCTCATTTCTTTCAATGTTTTGTAGTTTTCATAATATGCGCTTTGCACTTCTTTTGTTAAATTTATTCCTACTTCTTTTATTCTTTTTGATGCTGCTGTAAGTGGAAGAATTTTAAAATTTCATTTTAGTATTGGTTCACTGCAAAAGTAGAGAAATACTACTGATTTTTATATGTTGATCCTGTATCCTTCTCTCTTGCTGAACTCTTTTGTTAGTTTTAATAGCATATTCCTTAGGATTTTCTATAGACAAGATCGTGTCTGCAAACAGATAGTTTATTTCTTTCACTCTAATAAAGATGTCTTTTCTTTCTTTTTCTTGCCTAACTGCCCTGGCTAGAACCTCCAAGACAATGTTGGATAGAATCTGAAGAGGCAGACAGCCTTGTCTGGTTCCTGGATCTTACGGGAAAGCATCTAGTGCTAGTCTTTCATCATTAAATATGCTAAGTTCTTCCTATATGGTCTTTATCATGTTGAGGTAGTTTCCTTCTATTTACTAGTCTGTAGACACTAGTTAACTTCTTTCAACTAGTCTATAAGAGTGGGGCTTTTTAATCATGAAAGAGTGTTAGATTTTGTTGAAATGTTTTTCTGCATCTATTGAGAAAATCATGTGGTCTTGTCCTTTATTCTTTTGATATGATATATTGATATTCAGATGTTAAACCAATTTTCCCTGGAAAATTCTCACTTGCTCATGGTGTATAATTCTTTTTATATTGCGCTGCATTCAGTTTAGTTGTATCTTCACGAGGATTTTTGCGTCCATATTCTTAAAAGATAATTGGTTAGTATGTAATTTTCTTTTCTTATGATGTCTTTTGTCTGGTTTTTGTTATCAGGATAATACTGGCCTCTTAAAATGGTTTGGAAGTGTTCCCTTGTATTTGTTGGAGCAGTTTGGGAAGAATTTGTAAATTTAAAAAGAAATTTAAAATTTTATTAGCACCTTCAATTAAAATGTTTGCATACATTCTGACTTTTTAAAATTGAGATATAGTTCATGTTACCATAAAATTTGCTCTTTTAAAGTGTACAATTCAGTGGTTTCTAGTATATTCACAAGGTGCAACCACCACCACTGTCTAATTCTAGAACATTTTCATTGCCCAAAATACAAATCTGTGTACATTAGCAGTTACTCTCCATTCTCTTCTCCCCTCAGCCCTGGCAAATATTAGTCTACTTACTACCTGCATGGATTTGTCTGTTCTGGACATTTCATATGAATGGAATCATACAAAATATGTCCTTTTGTGTCTGGCTTCTTTTACTTGGCATAATTTTCTTTTTTAAGAGACAAGGTCTCGCTCTGTCACCCAGGCTGCAGTACAATAGCATGACCACAGCTTCCCTACAGGCCTGAAGTGATCCTCCGCCCACCTCACCCTGAGTAGCCAGGACTACAGGAACGTGCTACTACACCGGCTAAATGTTTTATACAGGTGGGGTCTCGCTATATTGCCCAAGCCGGTCTTGAACTTGGGCCCTCAAGTGATCCTCCCGCCTCAGCCTCTCAAAGTGCTGGGATTACAAATGTGAGCCATCACACCCAGCCTATGCTTAGCATAATGTTTTCAAGGTTCATCCATGTTGCAGCATGGATCAGTACTTCATTTCTTTTTATAGTTGAATAACATTGTATGGATAGACTACACTTTATTTATCCATTCATGAGTTGGACATTTGGGTTGTTTCCACTTTTTTGGCTATTATGAATGATGTTATTCGTAATTGTATGAATAATTATTATTGTGTTCTTGACTCTGGCCATCCTAGTGGGTGTGAAATGGTCCCTTATGGCCGTGATTTGTTTCCCTAATGACTAATGATATTGAACATCTTTTTCATGTGCTTACTGGCCACTTGTATATCTTCCTTGGAGAAATGTTTATTCAAATCTGTTGTTATTTTAAAGTTGGATTATTTACCTTTTTATTAAGTTGTAACAGTTCTTTACATATCCTGGATATTATAGCCTGAACAGATATGTGATTTGCTAGTATTTTCTCTCATTCTAGGGGCTGTCTTTTCACTTTCTTGATCGAGTACTTTAAGGCTAACAGTTTTTAACAGTTTATCTATTTTTTTCTTCTGTTTTTTGTGCTTTTGTGATGTCTAAGAAACCACTGTCAGATCCAAATTTTAAACCTATATTTTCTTCTAAGAATTTACAGTTTTAGCTCTGATATATAGGTCTTTGATCCATTCTGAGTTAATTTTTGTATCTGATGTGGAGATGCCATGAGCTCTTTAAAACCCATTAATAATATACATAGTTCTAAGTTAATAAGAATTTATCCCAAATAAGGATAAGGAAACGAAAAGAGGAAATAAAAAGCTTCAAGGTTCTACAATGAGTACTGAACCAATAGGAATTTACTTTGAAATGCCTGTCTTTTATTAAATAGGTTAATAACTCTGTTGCCCAGGTTAGAGTGCAGTGGCATCATCACAGCTCACTGCAACCTCAAATCCCTGGGCTTAAGTGATCCTCCTGCCCTAGCTTCCCGCATAGCTGGGATTACAGACATGTGCCACCATGCTCAACTAATTTTTAAAAAAAATTTGTAGAGATGGGGTCTCACTATGTTGCTCAGGCTGGTTTTGAACTCCCAGCCTCAAGCGATCCTCCTGCCTCAGCCTCCCAAACTGCTAAGATTACAGGCGTGAGCCACCATTCCTGGCCTAGACTAACTCTTTAATGACACTTCTTTCTACAGCTTTAGGGTCTCGGGGGGAAATCATCACTGATAGCTGACTTTTTAGGAAGTTAGAATTACATATTTTTTTTCAAGGTGCACTTGACATTAAAATTTAGAACATGTTTTGGCTACTCTATTATTTCTAAATATAGCTCAAGTGAATCCTGATTTTTTTAAGGTCAATCAAGCGAAGCAATGAGAGTGGAGAGGGAACGAAGAAATCTGTAATTGGTTGCGATCAATTAGAATTCTGATTTTTAAGAAATTTTTAAGACAAAGCAAGACAAGACAGCCTTTTATCCAATTCAGTTTGATAAAAATTCCTTATAAATATTTTGAGTTGTTGCCTGTAAAAATAGTACAATATTAAAATTAAAAACTGCTTTTGCTTCATCCATAAAATGATAAAGATTATCTCTAATCTGAGGCTTCCTAAAAGCACAGATGCCACAGAACACAGCTTTTGTAGTAGTGAGTGTAGAAAAAGTAAATTCACAACAGTGATAATGGGACAGTAGTCTCACTTTTGTACACATAAAGGACCCAACATCGACTCTCTCTCACAGAGTGAAATGGGGTTAAGATAACAGGGTTCATAAACACTCTGCAGAAGAGCCAACTGTTACGCAAATCTATGAGCTACAAATGAATATCCCTGTTACATTCCGCATGCTAGTCGTGGCTCCAGAAACTTTCTAATGAACGGCACACAGCAGGATACTCACAGGAGAGAGTTTCTGGATAAGGTCATGGGCAACGTGGACAAGGTTCTTGTCTTCATGGAGACATTTCTGAAATTTTCTGCTCTCCTCATCCTCTAGAAGATCGAAATCAATGGCAGCATCCAGTAAGGCCTGAATTAACCCCTTCCAGGATTTCAGGGCTGGAACCTGCGGTGCAACCGCAGCGCTGATGCCTGTTCCAATCACCAGCACGAGTTCCCGAGGCTTCTTAGTTTTCAAGCTTGGAAGCAGCTTCCTGAAAGAGCAAAACAAATGAGAGGATTGGAACATCCAATAGATATGAGGCACATGGAAAGACGGACTGACTAAAGTCATAGCTTTCAACTATAATTTTACAGTTGCAAAGATGACAAATAACAGTTTTTGATACTTTTCCCAAAGTAGTTTAAACAAAAAGATCAGAATATTGTAGTGCTTGCTGAAAAACAGAGTAATAAATCTACATTAGGAATCCTAAAGACCAATCTTAAAATCAGTTTTCTCCTTCTTAGTCCTCTCAACCTAAGAAATCCCACTAATATTAGGAAAGGGTCCAAATACATTACAGCTCAGCTCAGTTCTGCCACCTAAATTATATTTTAAACCAATATTAAGTTTCAAAAGAACATGTTTGATTTGTATTCCAGAAAGAGAGAAAAGAACCCCATACAAATTAAGTTCCTATTGTTGAGAAATGTAAAACAGGAGATGAAATAAAGTCAATAAAAAAATTTAACCCCCAATTTGTAAACATTACAAGATAAACTGAGTGGTAGGTGGTGAAATACGAGAACAAATCTGTCCTCAGTCTTGTTCTAGATATCTTCAGGCAAAAAAAAAAAAAAAGTAGCAACAGAATTCTAAAAACCCAGAAACCTCAAATACTAAATAAACAAACAAAGAAGTAACAATTCAATGGCATGACAAAAAGTGAAAAACGTTCCTTTCTTAGGATAAGCACAGATTACTGTTCTGAGGCCCATATGTGAGGCAGTCTGGGTACAAGTTTTTGTTTTTGTCCTCTCTCCTTCATTCTAAAAGACTATATTAAAAACCCCTGCTTAAAATGTTCCTTCACTTTAATTTTTGCTGATGGCTTGATTTTTTTCCCCCAAGAAATTGCCTTTCCCAACCTTTTGTCCAAATAATAAAACGAAGAGAAAGAAGATCCACATTTTGGCAAAACTCAAGAAAGGAATAGTATTTTTAAGCCTTACGAAACCTGGTTTTGGGGAAACATCCTCTAGAATTGCCTTCCCTATGCCCAGCTCCTGTATTCAGTCGTTCACCAAATAATGACAAAGCCTGTTGGTACCAGACGCTACCGTAGGCACTAGTGAGGCATCTATGAACAAAATGGAGTCCCTGATCGTGAGAGTTTAGTCTATTGCAAAAGAATGATCAATGGATATCAGAAACAAACGATGAAAATGAGTTTCAGTTCAGAAGGATTAAGACAGTGAAACACACACAAATATAAATACACAAAAATACACACACACGGAAAATTTCTAGAAGGGTTCACGAGAACTGTAAATAGTGGTTAACTGGGGATTGGTGAGAATAAGGACTTTTACTTTTTACTTTATACTGTTGTACTAGTTTAATTTTTTACCACACACATATAGATTTGAGCTATAATTTTTCCTAATTAATACTTCGAGTTAAAAACAAAAAATTTAACAGTTGTGTTTTATTTATGGTTCTTCCTAAAGCCACTAACAATCATCTTTTTAAGAAGGCATACATGCATTAAAAAGTAGGGTAGGAAAAGATGACAGCAGACAACAGAGGTCAGAGGGCAACAAAATTTTAAAAGTTGTAACATAAAAGCCAATTCCCTTTGTAGACCCTTGGGAATGTTCTGGCACATCTGAAGGTGCAAGGGCAGGTGGGGCTAAGACAGGAGAATCAGCTTCAAGTCTGCATTAGAAGCAGTGAGGAGTGCCAAGGCTGGAGGCTCGCCTTTTAGAGAGGCTGAAGCAGAGGACTCTGTATCTGAGAATACTGTGCACGACTGGGGCCTGGGGACTAGGAAGAAGTCTGTATGTGAAATATAAGACTTCTCCCAACCCTCTTTCCTTGGGGGAAGCTACCCAGACACTGGGAGTCAACTTTGCATCAGCACTTCTATCCCACATCCTGTCAGGAGATGGGAGGATTCCTCTTTGGGGAAAATGGCCAGTATGAGAGAAAAGACCCACAGATCCTAATAGGTAGGAGCGGCTCAACTCTAGAGTCTGGTCCATGCTTGATACCTGCAGGGAAGCCCATCCGAGACCAAACCCCTTACAGACACATAAATTCTCCAACTGTCTTTTTAGTTTTTTAGTGGTTTCTCCTAGACATGAGCAAGCAAACAAGGGTCACCTCACATTTGAGGGAAATCCTCAACACGAGTTACACCAAAACAAACTGGCGGAAGAAAAGAATTTGGAGGAAACGAGATAATACAGGAAAAGAAAAGAAAAAGTCAAAAGAAAACAATCATATCCTTGCATAGGTTAAAAAATGCATCTATGAAACATGAACAGAGTGCTATAAAAATGGAACAGGCAAACAAAAAGACTTTCTGGAAATCAGTAAAAAAAAAAATGTAATGGAAAGTATCAAATAACACAAGATAATTTCTCCAAAGTGAAGTTACTAGCAGCCAGCTGGAAAGAGCTACCCAGTGTCTAGATTCATAGATACATCATTGTGAAATTTCAGGTTACTAAGAATAAAATGACGATCCTTACAAGCTTCCAATGAGAAAAGAAAAAGAGGTCACATAATACAAAGGACTGGGAATCAGAAGAGAGTGAGTGGCTATTAGCAGAGAATAAGTGATACCTCCAAAAATTCTATACTCAGCCAAACTATCAAATAAATGCATATGTATGATAAAAATATTTTCACATACTTCCAAAAATTTTTCTCCTATGGACCCTTACTAAGGAAGCTACACAAGGATACACTTCAGCAAAACAAAGGAGTATACCAAAAAAGAAGACATGAGATCCAGGAAACAGACGATCCAATACAGGAGAGATGTAAAGAGAATTCTCAGAATCATGGCAAAGGGAAACAGCAAATATCAGCAGTGCAGCAGGCCTGGAGAACAACTGTCCAGAGGGGACTAGAGTCCAGAGGCAGGAATCCATGAAACAAAGTAAACCAGCAAGTTACTATGTGTGTTTCAGTATATCTAAGAGAAATTTATTCTTTTGTCAGAGTGTTTGAGGATAAACTGAAAGGTACATAGGAAACAAAGCAAACAAAAACATGATACAATATTTAACAACAGAGAAAAAATGGGCAAGAAAGGAAAATAAAAGCACAACACATTAGGCTCCTCTATGAATACTATTTATACAGTCATAATAACGTAAATACTAAAAACTGACGGAACCAAACACTATAACATAAACACACAGGGAGAACATGAGAGAGAGGAGCAGCACAGAGGGAGGAGCCACCAAAGCAAGCCTGCTCCTTATCTTCCACACTGGAAAATAAACGAAACCAAAAAATTACAAAGTAGCAGTATACGTATCTACTGAAAAACATGGATGTTGATATTAGAAGAAACATCAAGAAGCTGAAAGTGATTATCTCTGAAAAGGGGTGGGCCTTCAAGTACTGACTTTTAAAACTATGTACATGGATTTACCTTGATAAAAAGTAAAAATTAAATCTAAAATAAAAATAA